ATATTATCATTCCTTAAGTATGATAAAATCATTATACCTAAGGAATGATAATACTATCATTTCTTAAAAATAATAAAACTATTGTACCTAAAGAATGATAAATGCATTGTTCCTTAGAAATGATAAAACTATTATACCTAAAGTATGATAAATACATCATTTTTAAATACAATAAATCATTGTACCTAAAAAATAATAAAACTATTATACTTAAAGAATGATAATACTATTGTATCTTAGGAATGATAATATTATTATTCCTTAGAAATGATAAAATTATCATATTTAAGATACGATAAATGCATCATTTCTTAGAAATGATAATACCATTATTTCTTAGATATGATAAAATTATTATATCTAAAGAACGATAATGCATTATTCCTTAGGAATAATAAAACTATCATATTTAGAAATGATAAAATTATTATATCTAAAATATGATAAAACATCATTCCTTAAAAATGATAAAATCATCATACTTAAGAAATGATAAATGCATCATTCCTAAGAAACAATAATACTATTATATTTTAAGTATGATAAAACCATCATTTTTAAGGAATAATAATACTATCATACCTAAAGAACTATACAATCATTCCAATTAGACTTTAATCGACTATAAATAATATAAGTCAAATTTTGACTGATTCTTAGCTGATTTCTGATTTATGCTAATCAGCTAAGCTGATTTTTGATAATTTGCTAAATTTAAGCTGATTTTAGGCTAATTTTAGACTAATATTTTATATGTCTGATTTTTTTGATTTTGACTAGTAAAAATTATAGAAATAAGCCAAGAATAAGCTGTCTTATCTTATGAATAAATATAATGAAATTAAAAAAAAAGAGAAAAAAGTAAAAAGAGAAGCATAAGTAAAGAAAGATAATTTGAAAAACTTGATCTTTTATTTAAAACTCATAAAAATCATAATTTAAGATTTTTAATTAATAGATTTTCTAATGTTACTTAATTATTTAATAAAAAAAAAGAAATAAAAATTAATATTAAAGAAGAAATTCTAATAAAAAAACCTAATAATTTTAATCAAATCATTTTTAAAAAAAATAATCAAATTACTAAAAAATGAAATGCTCTTTCACAAGATTTATTAGTTAAAACTATAATTTTCATAAGTAATATAAGACAAATGATTTAGGAAAAAATGACTTGCTTTAAAAAGTGAATAATTTGAAAAAAGTAATTAGTTGAAAAGAAAATTAGAGAAGTAAAAAAAGCTTATAAAATAAAAGAATTAGAAATTAAATATCTTAAAGCTAAAATATTATAAAAGAAAATAAAGTTAGAATTATAGCAATTATATATATAATATAAGTTTAGAATAAAAAAATTAGATTTAAAAATTCATAATATAAATTTTAAAATAGTTACAATTTAATAATAATAATAATAATAATAATAATATAGTAATAATAATAATAATAATAATAATAGTAATAATAGCTAAATAAGAATAATAGCATATTAATAATAATAATTTTTAATAATAATTTTTTAAATCATTTTATTATAAATATTATTAGCAATAGATATATATAATTTAAGAATATTTTAGTATTATAATTAAGCATTTTTATTTTTTCTGATAATTTATCTAATAATTTTAAAATTATAATTTGTGAATATAAGAATAAGAACAAGAAACTAATGATCTTATTAAATGTTTATTTAAATTTAATATAGAGGGTATATATACAATATATTCTTATCTATCTAATAAAAAGGTTATAAATTTTGGATTAAAAGAAGTTAAATTTTATTATCAAAATTTACTTTATTTTTTAATTAATTTGATGAAAGAATTAGAGAAAAATTGATAATATTTAATATGTATATATATTAATAATTGTTATTTAATTATAATAGATGAAGAATTTAATATAATATTAAATAATTTCTAAAAAAAAAAGATGTATTGTAACATATACTGATCTATCTCAATAAATGTAGAATATGATATTATCTTTATTTATTTGATTAAATAATAATAATTATTATTATTATAGATTTCATATAAAAATACTTATTATATCTATCTAAAGAATACTAAAATTATTAAATTTATTATATTGAAAGAAAGATCGAAAGTATATAAATTATTTTGTCATATAAGTTTATATAATATTATACATTTAATACTAATTTATTTTATTATATATAATGTTAAAATATAAGTTTAAAGTTATTTTGAAGAGTAATCAAAAGTATTATTTTATAAATATAAATATAATATGTCTTTATTAAGTCCTTTCTTCTTACTTTTGATTTTCTTTTTTTTAAATTTTATTTTTTTTTATTTTCTTTTGATATAAAATTCTATACTGAATAAGTAAAAATATTTTCTTATTAATAATAATTTAACTTATAATATTTAATCAGAAATTTATTATTAAGTAAAAAAAACATTTTTTTTTATTTAATCTTTATAGGTTTAAATAGAATATATATATTTAGAAAATAAAATTCTATATAAAGATATACAACTTAAAATATATTTATATTATCATTTAATATCTAATTCAAATTTATCTGATTTTTTTGTTAAAATTATTTTATTTTTTTCTTCTTTCTTTCTTTTCTAATTCTTTTTTTTAAAATTTTTTTATATTTTTATTTCCTCTTTTTCTCAAATCTTTTTTTATTTTTTAATTTTTTTAATTTTTTTTATTTCTCCTCCTTTCTCTCTTAAATATTTTTTTTTAAATTATTTATTTTTATTTTTTATTTCTTCTTCTTCGACCTTATTATTTTTTTTTAATTATTTCATTATTTATGATTTTAACTTTATATATTATTATATATTTAATAAAAAAATATATTTAATAATATACTTTTATAAAAAATGTTAACAAAAAATTAAGTTTCTTTTAACCTGTCCAGTTTCTTATTATATAATTATTATTTTTATTATTTTTATTATCTATTTTATCTGTATCATCATTAAAATCAATATTTTAAATATTTATATTCATTTCTAAAAAGTTATGTAAAATTATTACACAACATATAAAAAAATTCTCATTTTAACTGTTTTTAATATTAAATATTCTAAAACTTACTTTTAATTTTCTAAAAGCATTTTTACTATAGCTTGATGATATAAATAAAAATTTTGAGAACTAGGATCTTTAAAAGGTAAAATTAAAAAAAAAAAAAAATAGAATAGGCTGAATCACTTAAAAGATAATCATCATCTTGAATAAGATGAAAATAATTTTTATAAAAAAATGAATTTCTAAAAACTTGAACATTATACATTGAATCTGATCAGCCCATATCATTACTAAAAAAATTCTTTCTATTATTTACAATACCTTAACAATGAATAGCATAACATTTTTTCTAGTAAAGTAAACTTCTAGATCTTTGTTTAATGCATTTTTCATAGGAATATATATTCTATTAACTGCTCCAATTACATTTTTAAGTCCTTTTAAATTTTCAAATCCCTTATAAACTTTTTTACACTTCTCTAAAGTAGGTCATTTAATAAAACTTTTTTTTTTATCATAATTGCTTGAATAACTCATTTAGTATAAAGAATTACTGTTCCTTCTTCTATTATAAATCTTGAACAAATCTCAAATAAACTTCTAGTGGATCCAAATCTGAAAAGAAATATAGCTAATTGAAATTCAATACAAGCTTGAATTTTATTTTCTTGTGATAAAATACAGGATGAATTGTATAAAGTTAGCTAATTGTTGAAAATGATGTGAAAACATTCTCAAAAGTTTTTTAAATCAAACAGAATCATAAAATGAAAGGACATTTTGCCACCAATGCTCTGATTTTACTACACAATATAATCTTAGTCTTAAATACCATGTATTTTTACTCGTCTTATTAAAGCAGTTAGTAAAATAACATTATCTTCATCTCTTGAAGTTTCCTCATCCTCTTCTTCATGTTCTTCTAAAAACACAGCACATTTTAAAAATTTTCTTTGCGGTTCATATCGCGTAAAAGAAGCCAATTATGTCTATTACAATATAATCGATCCGGTCAATGTTGTTTGTTCAATTTCAACTACGATCTGATTGGCTAGAAATTTTTAACAGGGCTTAATAGAAAGAAGTTCGTCTGATTGGCTAATTTTGTGTATAAATATTTCTTATCTTGCATTTTTTGTATTTCGTTGTTTAGCACCAATATCTTTTTTTCGAGTTTGGCGATATTTTCTGACACAGCCGAAGCTGATGATAGGTATTTGCGTAGGAATAAGAACACTCCTATAAGAAACATATATATTATAGCATTCCTGCAAAAATACTTAGAGTGTATCTATTGATAAGTAGTCCTGGAAAATCATCTTATAAATTGCATCAAAATCATTTTTTATTGTAGAGGGTCGATAGGTAAAAAGTTGATTTAAATTTGTTTCATTCGCGAAAATTATGTTTCGATGGTTTATGCACAAAATCCTAGTCCTCAATCCATCCCTTGAAGCTATGCTCCTGCGGGAGATAAGCAAATGAAAATTTTAAGATTATGTAAAAAGCAATAGAAAGTTGTCCCTCCCGAGAAAATCTATTTTTGAGGGGGTAAAATTCAGGGTGAAACATAATTACTCCTTTTTTGATCAGAGATTTTGTGAAGTATAATTATGAAGAGAGAATTTTTTTTTCTACTTGCTTTCTTTTTCTGAACTACATGGAAAAAAATGGTATTTTTTATAATTCCTTCGCAGTTAATCGCTACGATCAGCGCAAAACATGAAAGTCTTAATATCCAATAATTTGCCGATCCTAAATTTCGAAATTTAACCTGCATTAATCTTCTTTTGGTCGAATGATCAGCGAAATATAGGGAAAAGTTATTACTGGCCTCCTTAATAAATCAACCGAAGTCACGTGAAAGTTCTTTTGGAACAATGACAATGGCGGAATGCTTTATTGAAAATAAGTCATACTTAAAGCACATAAAAGTAAACTACAAAGAGACCTCGAAAACAGCTAAATTATTGTCCCGATATTTATAACTCATTTTCATTTAAAATTTCTTCACGAATCTTAACTAATGCATCCAGCACTTCATTTCTATCCGCTGGATCAGAAAGATCCAAACCACTACTCAAACTATTCTCAGCCGGCCATCTTTGAATCACAACTGATGATTCTTTCGGCAGGCCATTTTCAAGCTCCTGCCAATACGTTGTAGGGATCATAACTTTATAAAAAGTAACATATGTAGTGATTACACGAACGGCCCATGATATCTGATCCGTATAATCCGGGTTCCTACGATTCTCAAGACGAAGGGCACGTATGTAACGTACATTCTCATTACAAGAAGCAAGAATCTCTACAGCGATCTGAGATTCCCTATATCCAGTTCTTGGCCCGGTATTCCTTAGGTGTTTGTCCTGTTTAAAAAGTTGTTTGAGTCGATGAAAAATAATAACTTGTCGAACGATCAAAAACATACAGACCTCTACTCCGATAATAGTAGATCTTTTATTCTTAATTACGAATTCTGGAATTGATGACACGTAAGGCTCCTCCTCGATGTGTAGTTTACATGGCGGGTGATTTCTGAAATTTGAGAATTCGAACTTTAACCAATTGAAGTGCCACAACAAAAGGCTTACCATGATTACTTACCTGATCATTAAGGGGAAGTTATTAAGCTTAACGATACGAAGTAGATCATCCAAAAGTGTGTCAGTAAAAGATTCGTCCGTGCCTAACACTTGAAAACCATTCAGCACGTTGTGCAATTTGGTAGCGAACGTTTGAGCTTCAGGATGCGAGATGCTTTCAACCTCACAGACATCAAAAAATGGATTTCCAAGTATTTTACGATTAATACCGGGAAGAAAATACCGTTCCGGAACGTTGGCTAGAAAATATTTAAATCATAAGTATTGAATCGCTAAGAGAAACGTTTGATCCAACGTATTTCATACCTTCACATGAAGGAATGACATCGTTTTTATTTGAAGCTGGTTCGAATCTCACTCTCAATAGCTTAATATCATTGATTTTGAAATTAGATGCTGAATTAGGAAATTATCACTAGAGGTGGGACTGAGCCTAAGCTGACTAGTGGCTTCTGCCTTGGCTGGCAATGCGCTTTGATCGCCGTGTAGGGGTAGAAGAACCTTCACTTTCACTTTCTTTTCGTTTCTTTGAAGTTTTTGAAATTTTTGACATCATAAAGAAATAATTGTAAGACACCGATAAAAAAAAATGAAAAAAAAAGGCTATATAGTCGGGTTTTGATCACAGATCGGCTCATTTGATCGATCTGTTAAAATTTTTTTTTTTATAGTCGACATATCATCAAAGTATTGAAAATGTATTAATAACACATTTTATTAAATCAAGTCAAATTTTTGGATTCTGATAGTGAGGAATCAAATGATTTTGAATAAGAACAATTTTACGCTAAAGGTGATGAAGTAATTCTTCTTGGATTATGTTCTTTATTAGATTCTCATTATTTAGAATCGCGTATTTACAGTAGCGTTGCTAAATCTTAAGAGTAGTGGCATTTAATTGTTTCTAGATATGATGATATTAGATTTAAAAGAATCATGAGAATGGATTCACAAAGTTTTCAAAACCTTATAACAAAAATCCAAACACATTCAATTTTCCTGTCAACTGGTAATAAGCAATAAGCTCCAGTTTATTACAACTAGCTATTTTTTTTTATGAAAAGTAGAATCAAAAGATAAAATTTTTAGCATACTGGGAGGGAGACAAAATATTGCATAGTTTTATTTTTAGCGATGAAAATTTTTTTATTAGGATTGACAGTTAATTTTATTTTGTATTCAGAAAAAATTTCCTTCTTTGGCTATGATTAATTAATTAAATCTATATACCTTATTAAAGATTTTTAATAAAAATTTACATAAAGGTGAATTTAGAAATAACAATGATAATAAACTAAAAATGTAATTATAATCAATTTTTTTTAATAAATTAAATAAATTTTTATTTAATTAATAACATTTAATTATTATAATAAATCATATGAAATTTAGCATTAAAGATTAGTAAACTTTATTAAATAAAATTAAATTTTACATAAAACTAAAGTTAATTAATGGTCCTATTTAATCTGATCAATCTATCTAAGCTTGTATTTAAAAAAAGAAAGAAGAATATGTAAAATTTAAAAATGTTAAACAAATAAAAGAATAAAACAAAATAAGAAAATGAGCTTTATTATATCTGTCTAGAATTCAGAATCGAAGAGCTAAAAGAAATATCTAAAAAAAGAAAGTAAATAAAAATTAAAATGAAATAAGAAAATAAACTTATCATCTTAGATTTAGCTAAAAAGTCTAAAAATAAAAATAGTTAATAAATAATAATTAAGCAAAAAATAAAGCGAAGCAAAAAATAAAATAAATGAACTTAATATTTTTAGTTGTTAAATAATAATCAAACAAAATAATAAAATAAAGTAAAAGAATAAAATAAACTTATCATTTTAGATCTAACTGAAATATTAAAAGATTAAAAAAATTGATTATTAAGCAGTATACACTCCCTACCCAAAAGTATTAGACCACATAAAAATTTTTATAAAATATCAAATTTTTTTTTATCTACAGTTT